AAGAAGTTCAACATCAAGATCAAGCCTTTGCAGGCTAAAGACATCCTGAAGAGCGCGGCGACGGTGGATGAGCTGAAGGCGTCGATAGGCAACATTGCACTTTCTCCATCCCCCGTGGTGAGTCCTCAGTGTTTCTGTCTCTTCCCCTGGTTGCGAAAGCGGTGATGCTCCACAAGGCTCATCCCAAGGGAGCAGGGCGATCTTCCTTAGGTGTCAATGGTTATGTTTGCATTTGTGTCCTTATTTACCGGGTCTAATCTATATAGAGGCAATAATGTGACTGCAAGGAGATCTCAGTTGTATTGTGGTGATGTTTCCGGGTCAAAATATCTTAAAAATTCCCTTTCCTGCTCAAAAAACAAGGCAACTGAGATAAGAATATATTATTCCCTTATTTTTCCCCTTTTTTCTCATTTTTTAATGTGGTCATTGTTTAGGACGTAAATTGGGTGAGTCTTTCCTGGGATAGGGAAAGCATCTGTGGGGTTTTCCACACTGCTGCTGTGGGATGTTAGAGGGGCATTCCTTACCCCGGGGGTGAGTCCGGGGTTCCTGGAAGGAAAGGTCTTGTCTCCTTAGTCCCTCCCAGTAAAAATACCATCACCCTCTGGTTTTCCTAAGGCCTGTCAAGATTTGTCGTCTCATCCCAATCTGTTCAGCCCTGAAAAGATCTGATTTTTGTCTTTCAGTGGGCTTTCACGTGGGCTGTAGTGTCTTTTCAGATGAAGCTTTCTATGGTTTATAATTAGCCTGTATCTGAAGTGTGAATGAATCTCAAACTCCAGGCGAAGAGGAAATAAAATTCCCGACTTTTATTTCTTCTTTCCAAACCAACACAATGTTGTCAGTTCTGATGAAAACTTCTGCAAATCACTGTCCTTGGAAACACCGAGTCCCTCTGGCACGGCTCTGCTTCCCCCCGATGCTTGGTCCCCTTAGCGATGTGCATTTCGGGATGCTTTTCTGCACTGTGACCAGGGAGGTTGTGGCAGTTGGTGTTCAAGGGTTAGAAACTGCAATTGGCTGCTTTGGGAAGCACAAAAATAAAGAAAAAAAAAAAAAAAAGAGGAAAAGAAAACAAAACAAACCTGAACCAAAGCCAACAACAAAAAACCACCAAAATTAAGAAGGAAAAAAAAAAAAGAGGAGGGGAAA